ACGGTCGCAAACTCAACTTATGGGAATCCTTCCCAAAGAACGCACAACCTTTTCCCGTGCATTCACAAACACGGGGGTGGATTTCGCGGGCCCGTTCGACATCAAGTCCTACCGGGGCAGAGGATGTCGCATGTCAAAAGGCTACGTCTGTCTCTTCGTCTGTTTCTCGACGAAAGCCATTCACCTTGAAGCTACCAGCGACCTTAGCACCGCGTCCTTTCTAGCCGCTTTCGCAAGATTCGTTGCTAGACGAGGATGTCCAAAAAACGTTTACTCCGACAATGGTACTAACTTTGTCGGAGCCTCACGATCTTTACGATCGGAATTCAAAGCATTTTTAGCTGAGGCACGCAATAGCACCCTCACTAAGTACAGCCATCAAGCCTTAGAGTGGCATTTCATACCCGCTGCGGCCCCTCACATGGGCGGTTTGTGGGAAGCTGGGGTGAAAAGTTTCAAAACCCACTTTAAAAAGGTCGCGTCCGACCACAAATATACTTTTGAAGAGTTCACCACACTCTTATGCCGTATTGAGTCTTGTCTCAACTCACGACCACTAAGCCCCTCTTCAAACGAACCGTCTGACCTGGAGCCGCTTACCCCCGGTCATTTTCTGGTCGGCGGGCATCTTCTTGCCCCACCCGAAATCGATGTAAATGAAAGTCCAGCCTCAATCGTAAATCGATGGCAGAAACTGAAGGCCCTACACCAGACATTCTGTAGGAGATGGAAAATGGAATACCTCACCGAGATGCAGAAACGCATCAAGTGGAAACATCCACAAACCAACTTAAAGCTAGGAGACCTTGTCGTCGTTAAAGAGGAAAACCTGCCACCAAACGAATGAAGATTGGGGAGAATAGTCAAGCTACACCCAGGTTCCGACAACCGAGTAAGAGTAGTCGACATCGAAACAGCTAAGGGAGAAATCAGAAGGCCAATCGCAAAATTGGTCCTACTTCAGCCCTACAATGAGAACAGCACAACCTCGCAGTAAACTTCTTACCTACTCTTCATTCCACTTCACAAAAAAAAAAAAACCATCTATTCCACTTCTCTTCACCCTGCATCATCCCAAATCTCAAATCGCAAATAATGTAGCTACAGAGTTTCTCAATACAAATAATTTTGAAAGCGCATGGTTAAACATGCGTACCTACAGGAAGTTCTTTCGTTATAGCATAAGCATCATTACAAACGGCGATTATATCAGGGAGATATATTAAAAAAAAAAAGGTGATGGTTCTTACCCAAGAGCCCTGGGTCGATCTGGTAACACGGAACCGACCATCTCAGATCCTTTAAGAGGTGATCAAAGTCATACGTTCAAAATGTATAGAAATGGCGAAATTGGTTCTAATTTTCTAAGTTAGAGCTGTGAATTTTTAAATTATTACCTTTTTGATACCCACGCAAGAACCGCATTAACAAAAAAAACCGATTTAATTCGAGATATATATTTCTTTCAAGTATTTATATCTCTGTCCTTATAGCGCACTCGATGAGGCCGTATTTAAAAGTAAACAACATCTGCTATTTTTATACGACATTTCTCTAATAATTAATTATTAGAGAAATTTTTATTGGAGTATTTAATGAACTTCGTGTTAGACCTCTGCATGAGTTGATTTAAACTTCCAGCCAAACAAAGTACAGTAGATTGGAATTTTCTATTTTATATACAAACACTCAGCGTTTTGAATTTTTTAATTTATGAATATTCATCTTGTTTTAAATTTCCTGCCTTGAATGTGAATGAATGAATGACAACCATTCAAACTCATTTTGGTTATAGTTTTTGCTACAAACAAGTGTTTTCGTATTTTAATAGGAACGCAGCATTACATACATACATACATATGTACGTTTGTACAAATGTAAATAAAAAAAAAAAATATTTTTGGATATTCATAAACAAAATTTGTCATTTATTTTAATTCAATTTATCTTCACATTGTTTGAATATTGTTATGACGACACCCATATCAGAACAGTAGTCAGTCAAACTTAAAAAAAAATTGAAGGTAAACTCATTCATTGGTTTTTTATATGAACAATTCATATGCCGTTTTGAATGAATTCATGCAGCCCTCTACTTCGTATGCATGAAAAATTATATTGGAGGGATTCAAATTAATAAAAATCAATATTTTTGCTCGACGTTCGAATTTATTCTGTTTTCTATAAGTTCAAATATTTTCATTCAACCGACGTTAAGATAATTGTTCTTATTTTCTAATTTGCTTCTTAATTGCTTAATTTTGTTTCTACAATTCCTATCAAACGAAGGCAAAAACCAGAAATGAAGTTTCATGTACTATGTGGTAGTTCTAAATCTACACTGCAGTCTCTTATGATCTTGTGAACTAAACGAACATAAAGAACTTTTCTTTCCGACCGCTCAACACCTGAAACATAACGAAATTTGGTTTTCCTTTTTAATGTGTCTTATTGGAGCTTATTATCCACTGGCGCATATTAGGAAAAATAGTGTTGTGTCAAAAAACCTCTCTACTCTTCAAATCCCACCCGTTTTTAATTATTCTCTATATTGTTGGTAAACATATGCTCACTCGCTTAAGATTGTCATTGTGACACAATGTTGTTTTGATTTTTGTGAAGTTTCTTACAAAACTTACGATCGCTATAAATTTTGACCCATTTTTAGGTTTGTTCCACAAGCTACTTGTAGAAAACTCGAGCAAAGTTCAAACCGTCAGCGTATATCAAAGAAACTCAAAAAAGGTACTGGTGGAACGCGTATGTGTAACACGAAGTGACTTCGAGTGGCTTGTCGAACAAACCTGTGGTTGGGATTTACAGATTTGATGTCTTCAAACTAAAAACAAAGCACCAAAGCAAACGCACCAAGCACTAAACTCAAAAATTTTCGCGTTTTGGATAAAGAAAAGCACTAAATTTAGTGCGAAAAGCACCAATTTGGCAGCGGTGATAAAGTATAACACTAATAATTTAATAATTACTACAAACTTACCACGTGCCAAATCCATTAAAGCCGGTCAGGTCAAAAGTTGAACAGCTATACGAGCGCGTCGCCCCACGCTATACTCCGGCGAGCCGACGCCGACGGGGACGGGAACGCCCACACAGTGTGTTGTGTAAAAGGGAAAATGTTAAGCAAAACACAAAAGCTCATACTTGGCATCATAATATCGTTACTGGTCGATGTAATTTGGATATCATCCAGTGAACTAACAAAGTTTCTTTATGAAAATGAGAAGTTCGATAAGCCATTCTTTTGCACTTACTCTAAGACTTTAACTTCGGACAGCACCGAAGGTCGTATGCAGACAGGCGGTACAAAAACGCGTGTTACAATTAGATTTGCTGGGCTGGCGTTATCTGAAGTCATGCCGAGTAATGGTATATTGCTTTTGGGTATAGTTTTTAAACAACTCCAAAACAGTTAAGGGATTTAACTCCTCCACTTGATTGTATGTTGTTAACATTTGCTGCAGCTCGCGATTATTTTCCGTTGCCTGCAATAACTCATTTAGCGCATCAGTCATGATATCGTCTGGCTTTTTACCCGTGCAGGAATCATGTAAGATCCTTAGTAAGCCTGGACCTTTCTTTCCGCCACCATTTGGCGCTTCGCAATCGGGACATTTTGCTTGTTTCTTGGTCTTAGTTAAAATTTGTCCATGCAAGGCCTTTTTTGCTAAATATGACCAGTTCGGATTCAGTAGCTGTTTTCCGTATGCGGGCTTATCCGGCTCCCAAGGCATTACATGCGAGAAACTTTTACAAATCATTTGCAAAATTGAAATTATTGCTCGGAAATGACCAATGTGGAATACCGGCAACGCGAGATCTAAATAACCGAAATGCCCAATACATTCATTCAGACCACATGTGTCGCAGGTAGCGTCTTTGGTGCTCACGCCCATGCGTTTATCCAGCACGCCATAAGGAACTGATTGACGTTGACCCTGATAGAGGTTTTTTTTGTTGAAACGATACGTAAATGTGATTCCGTTGGATTTCCTCAGGACTGCTGATGCAAAACTGCACATGGGAAATTTGCTTGATAACGTCAGCTTCGCGGAACTGTTCTTTCAGCATTTTTATGCAGCCACAGCCACGCTTAATTGTCGAATCTGAAAATGAAATGAATGAATTGAATAACACTAATAATTTAATAATCACAACAAACTTACCACGTGCCAAATCCAGAATGAAATTTTCAGTCATTCAGGAAGTTATTGCTGTGTCAAAACTTTGACATACGGTATTAGCTCAACGTTTGACATACGTGATTGGGCGAATTGCGAGCCTTCATAAAAGTAGGGCAAGCAGCACCATCTGGTTGTCAGGTACACAACTTGATAATAAACTGCGAAAAAATAATTTATTTTGTGGTGCATGCTATACAGTGTTGCCAGGTGATTGTATTGAGAAAGCGTCAGTTTGGTTATCAAAAAACGCCTTTTGCATGTAAAAATCGTCAACATGTAATAAAAATTTTAATAAACTGAACCAGGAAGCCTTTGGATTTTTATTCATTTATGCTAGCTTCTGATGCTGTATGTAAGAATAAAAAGTTTTACGTTTTTTTTACGAATTTAAAAATTCGCATTTCTTTTAACAAAAATATTTTAATTGGAATATGGTTAATCGTCATATTTTTGTTCTCAAACTGCAACTTAACTATGTGCATTAAAAACTGTTCATACTCACTTAGTTTCTACCTGGCAACACTGATGTACTATTTAGCCCGGTCTCGAACCCATAGTGAGGAAATTTTCTTTCGCCGTGCCAGGCCAAGTGGTGAAACTCACCACAAAACCACAAATTACACCTTTTACGAGATTACAAATTTCACGGTGTGTTCGGGGAAATAGTGATCGAAAAGTTTGTACTACATAAAGGTCTATTCGATGCAAAAGCAAATGGCAACAAATGTAATGGAATAAAATCTTATAACGATGGTCACCTTCCACAGATCTGTTTTATACCCAAACTCAAAACTTTAGGCTCAAAGTCATAGAAAATAAAGAAGGCTTTAACCGCTTTTTAAATTTAAGCTTTTTTATAAAAACGCCACTTTGTAGAGCTTTGTAAGTCTATTTATTTTTTAAGAGTAAGACCATTAGTCTATACTTAATACCGCACAAGTACGCGGAGACTGAAAGTCTGAATTGGCCCAGTTTTGTACTTCACCAAGTCAAAACAAATTAAATAAATAAACAAATAGTATATATATATATATATATATATATGTACATAAGTATATCACACGTATATATAAAATGTGCTTTCACGAGATATACAGGCATACATATATTCGCCACTTGCCACCCAACCCAAAACTAATAGTACGTAACTTTTTACACCTACGGACATAACTACGAGACTCATTTACAGAATGACTCGTTTCTCGGCCAATCGCGCACATGCGGAAGTACGCGCTGATCAATTCACGGTTCTATGCCGGTTATGCGGCGGAGCGCATGGCATTCGACTATGCCCCTTTTACCGCGGCAAAGCGGTCGAAGCAAGGCTGCGTGCAGTCCTGCTGCATAAATATTGCCCAAACTGCCTCTCGCCGTTCCACCGCCTCGACATGTGCAGCAGCACGGATCGATGCCACCGATGTCGCGAAAAGCATCACACCTCGCTCCATCTCGATGACTGCGAAGACCAAAGGCACCCAGCGAACGCGATCAACGACGGCGAGAGCTCGGACGGGGCACTCTCTATCGACGTTACGGAGCAGACGAAGTCGTGGGCGCAGNACTATCGAAGTTACGGAGCAGACGAAGTCGTGGGCGCAGCAGGTCGAAGAGGAGGAGTTAGAGGGGTCAGAGAGGACAGACTCTTCCCCACATGAGCGACAAAAGCGCAACTCTGGAACTGGCACACCGAGACCGTTAGACAAGTTACAACCACGCGCGGGCGACGCGGAAACTCGTTCTTTCCGCTCGCCAACGCGTGCACAACACAACTGGCGCGACGCGGAAACTCGTCCTTTCCGCTCGCAAACGCGTCAGCAACACAACTGGCGCGACGCGAAAACCAGTCCTTTCCGCCCGGCATCACGATCGCAACGCAAGCCAAAACGACACGACGGCGCGGAAACTCGTACTTTCCGCTCGTCTAAGCGATCGTCTAGGCTACGCAAAGCAGCACCATACCACAAAACGCGCACAAACGACAGCAACATCAATAGTCGTGCCTTACAACGCGCTCCACCGACCGGCTTCCGAACGGGCCGCCTAGTGCAAAGCGCCATATCAACGCCGATCATTCGTGCGCTTATCCCCATCGCGCCGACCGCAATAGTGCGGATTGAAGCAAGGGGCCGCCTTCATTTGGTTCGCGCAATGATTGACCCTTGCGCACCAAACTCATTGGTTGATTCGGAACTGGTGAGAGATCTCCAACTGGAACGCAACGGATCCGGACGTCTGCAGCGTTGCACGGTCACCATGCGAGGAAGATACAGCAGCTCCGACCGCATTACGACCCAAGCAGTCGTGCTGGACCACCATATACGTCTGAGTCCACCGTCGAACCTGGACCCTAAGGTTGCGGCCCCGTTCCAGTTCATGCGCTTGGCGGATCC